AGGAAAAATCATGCAGAGAAATGATATTGGAGCTCTAGAGCATTTGTATCCATATGGGGCAGAGGAGCTCACCAAGGCAGAAAACAACATAATTACGGCTCTGTTTAGCTCCATTACAGCCGCTGCTCTCCTGTCTCTGCTACCACCTACATGCTCTGCCTGATTGCCCGCTCCTCATCACATAGAGACTACTTATTAATTTAACCAACATAATTAGGAGGTGCTCGTGATGGGTATGGACAGTATAACCTCAACGATTTCTTTCTGATAGACTTCATTATTGGTCATTTGATAACTTGAGGACAATGTCCTTGATATATGAGAAGTATTTTATTAGATTTTCTAATGATTTGCTGTCACACATCCCCACTCGCCTTCCTTCTGCCTCTCTTCCAGCACCACCTCAGTGTTTTTCCCCAGGACAAGCATACATATTGCGCACTTAGATGGAAATGTGTGGGAGGAGAGAGGCACGGTCTTACTTCTGACGCACGGACATACAGTGAGAAAGAAAAATGAAAGAAGCTACACTCTGAGATTAAAGAGCATGACAAATATGAATGAAAAGAGACAGACTGATACCTCTCACGCATTCTGCAAGGTGTTAATGAGTCAGACAGAAGGATACTGCTGTTGTTAGGAATGTTTAATACAGCAGTAGATGGAGGAGGGCAGGAGGCTGCTGTGGCCTCATCTGTTGATAATTTGTGTTGTGAGCTAAAAGTGCACTCAGTGATGATCTTTTTCACTTCCACCTCTTTCTTGCCTAGAGAAAGAAGGAAAAAAGCATATGCATGTGTGTGAGTGCGCGATTTTGTGTGCAAGAGAGAACGAGACAAATGAACAATGCAAATAATGGCTAATGGCTAATCATGGTTTGTTTAAGCAAGTATCCCTTGGGAGATGTAGCTGTTGCAGTGACCGCACACACGCACATGTGCACACAGAAGTATGTGCTTTTATGTGTTTTGATTTGCATGAACAGCACATTATTCAAGAATATTCCAAAGGAAAAGCTGTGACTCACACAGGCTGATTGTGCTCATACAAATCAGCTGGCATGGTTGTGCAGATATTTTCTCGCCTTCCATCCCTCACTTTGTGTTGCTCCCTAATGAGATGCACAGCTCTGTATTCATCATATGATTATCAGACAGGGACGCTGAGCCTTATCCACTGAATTGTCATGTAAAATAAGTTCAGAATGGCTATTTAGAAGAAGGATGCAAACGTTCGCTTAGTAACAGCAGCAAGTTCAAAGAAATGTTTCCCTCTGAGTGAATGGATGTGAATAAAATAAAATAGAACAACAATCTTATTGGTATCCAATGACCTTGTTGGGGTGTCATAATATGAATTATACGATTGTTATCATGGTGTCTGAAATTAATTCATTATACAGATCAGAGCTTAGAAAGTACTACAACTAGACAAATTTTGATTTGTACCTCTTGAAGAGTTACTTCCACCAAAAGTGTATTTGTGTTTTAAAAAAAACAATTTGGGCTGCTACAAATCCCTCAGGAAAAAATGCACCGTCATCAAGCAAACCAGATTAGATGACATTTTTGAGATACAAAGATTACATCTGTATGCAGTGATACATTTCACCCAAAAGCAGCAACAAGCAGCTGCTGAAAAACATTTGGAAGAGGATTCAATTACTGGCCTTATAAACCTGAGGTGCTACTATGCTGGAAAGAGAGATTTACACAGGCTGGGAAAGGCATTAGGATATCCTCATTCCACAGCCTGCTGGTGTGTGTGTGTGTAATGTAAAACCTGCCTAAGAGGTCGATAAGGCTATCAGTTGGAGACAATCCTGTGATTATGCACTGCCTTCTGCTCAGTCTTGTGGTCAACTAAAAACAGACACACTATAGCAGCCCAGTGGCACACATGCGCACACGAGCACACACACAAATGCTCACATGCTCTCGTATACCTAGCTACCAATGAAAATCAAGTAAATATCTATATGTGACGATGGAAGTTAGGAGATGAAATTTCATAAACTGCAGACTACAAAGATCCTATTAAACCCAAGAATTCATGTTGGCTGAAAAACAACACGACTTACTATTGATTATTTTATTCATAAGGCTGCATAGTTTATCTTATGACATAAACATATTTTTAATGATCATTTTGACCATTCATGCGTAAATCACTATGAATCAATAAGAAGGAATATACCAAACTGTTTTATTTAGAACAACTAATACTAATACACTAATTCACAGTCACAGTAATACTCCAGAAAAACAGAAACCCAGAAAAGGAAGCACAGATAGATTATTGTAATAAAAGCGGTAACACTTTATAATAAGTATTTATATACTTTAGTGGTGCATGATTCAATGCATGAATTAATGTAGGATATATCATGACATTCTGTTGCTAGCGATTTATAAATAATCATGTGGATACTTAATAGATTATCAGTTAAGGAATGTTTTCACGGTTACATACATTCATTTATATGCAACCAATTAGACGTATTCCTCATACACAAATGTTTATTTATATCCTCTCTCATTATAAATATTTAAATTGTGTTGTTGAAAGAAGTGGGGCTTAAACATGTCTGATCATTCTCCTCTAATTTGTCGATAATGTTTCAAAAACACAGTTGGGTCTATTCTCATAGAAATATCAGGCTATCTTTCCGTAAAGCCTAGACAAATGCAGGGTCCTGAAATAAAAAAATGTAACTGGAATTCTGCTAATTTGGTCCCATATCAATGAATGTATGAATTAAGATTCATTAAATGATAATCTATTAAGTGTGAATTAATCACAAAAAGTCATAGTGACTTGATCATTTGTTAATGCTGAGCAACAAACATTCATGATACATCCTGCATTAATTCATGCATTAATTAAGCATTACTTAAGTATATGATTTGTACCCTTATTATAGGTCCAGTGTGTAACATTTAGGAGGATTTATTGTCATTTTTTGGAATATAATATCCATAGGTATATTTCCATTCAAGTATAATCACCTGAAAAAAAGAAACGTTGTGTTTTTGTTACCTTAGAATGAGCCGTTTTTATATGAAGATGGCGCCGGTCACCTTCCGTGGCGGCCGCCATGTTGTATTGCTACGTTCCTACAGTAGCCCAGAACGGACAAACCAAAAACTGTCTCTAGATAGAGCTGTTTGCATTTTTCACATGTTTCAAAGCCACTGTAGTTTCTCCCTCAGACTTGGAAAGGGAGGGTAAACAAGTGAGTTGCAATCTGCAACTACACCGCTGGATGCCACTAAATCCTACACACTGGTCCTGTAAAGAGTAAGTTCGGTATTTTTCAACCTGCACCCTACTTTCCTATGCTTTTTGTCAAAGTGACTAATCTGGACAACAAACTTGCTGCAATGTACAATTTACATACACTTATCTTTCTTTTTGCCACTGACTGTCTCAGATTCTTATTCTCTAGACATAAACGATTATATGGAAGGGTAAGATTCTTTTTGTTTAACCAGAAACAGTAGTTATACGGCTGTGTTCAAACTACCACACTGTTCCAACCATCACCAACCTTAAATTTGGTCTAAATAAACCCTTAATTCACTCAGTTAGATGTTAAAATATTGGGAGAGGAGTGAGAGGGAGATGGGGGGCCAGAGAGGCAGCGGGGAGAGTTATATTTTCAGCTGTAGATTAATATACATTTGGTGCCTTAGTGAGTATTTACAGCCAAAGGATTGACTTAAAGGAAACTACAGTGTGTATGTTCATCATCATTCAGGAACATGTCAGCCAGGGCTCACTGATGTGTTTTTAACACATTTTGGATAACGACATTTTGCATAACAACACACCTATATGTCACACAGGAATACGATATAAGATATATTGTTAGGTTTGGTCTTTTATGATTTATTTTTACAATCAAAAATATAGAACATCACCAGACTTATCCTTTAAAGTGTGATTTAACAGATTAAAAAAAGCATGACATTTGGGTGCTAGGGGGTGACTGAGTTAGCGGCTTTGATAAGGCTTCATCCTATAATTCATATTTAAAGCTATATCATGCACAGAGAAATTCCTTGGTGTATTTCATTATAAATCACCAAACATGTGGATAACATGTAGGAGCTCGTAAACTGTTTCTTCAGCTTTGCTGCTTCGTCGATAAGAGCTGCATGTGGCTGTAAAGACGAAGATTATTACTGTAACACCACAAGATAAAAGGTGTGTTGCAGGAAGGAATCACAGCAGCAGCTCACCTTATTGTTGTTTGTCTGGTTGTCCTTTTAAAATGAAGGTCCTAATCTTTGTGCTGGGATCACATGACAGGCTATTGATGTTTGGCTTAGAGCTCTGTCAATTCAGTACCATGGACACACACACACACACACAGCCTCAACAACAGAAGCACAGAGACTGGAACAGAATGGAATTTGAAACGTTTTAGCTAAAAATGTTTCCATCGTCAAGGTGTTTTTTGCAGAAACGTTTCAGATTTCGTTTTGTTCTCCAACTTCGTGGGTGAAGACGGTCAACTGAGGCTGCAGGAAATGCAGCTTCCGTGAAAATCAACACACTCTCACAAACAATTCTATCCATTTGGAGTAACAGCCTCTAAACAAAGGTATTCTAGATGTGAGGATAAGTGTAGCGTGTTCACCCTGAAGGCACCATCCTCTCCTCTGACCCACTTCCGCCTGCTGTCCAATCCCATTATCCAATCATCTGTTGAGCTCTCATGATTGATGCTTTTGTGTGGCAATTTCACAATAAATATTCAATATGTTATGATAAAGAACCATGCTTTTGTTGCATTTTGCGTAAGAGATGGTCTTATATGTACAGTACAGGATTTCTTGTATAAATGCTGTGAAATTCTAATTACTTTAACTACTACTGTTTTTGTGAGAGAAGGAGTCAGTATATCACTGATTGATGCTTGTTTTTTCGATATCTTCATTATTCCCCACACACATAATCTCCTACTAACAGGCTTCTCCATACTGTATTTGTAGGCCACACGGTGAGTTGGGCTGAGACCACCTCATGTGTCGGGCCTCCTCTGTGTTCTGGTCCCCACCGATCCCCATCCTCCCAGCATCAGTGGGATGTCCCAGGTGTGTCTCCTCTTGGCCTTGCTTATGCTCTGCAGCTGCACAAAGGTATGACTCACGGCCCTTCTCTCTTTTTCACACAGTGACACAAAGAGTTTTTGGTTAACTATACTCTCTCTTGAATGTTGATTGCTAAACACTTGACATGAAGCTTAAGGAAGTGTACTCCTCCTGCAGGTCTCCTCTACTAACTCCCTGGAGCTTGTGAAGGAGCAGTGGAGCAGCTACAGAAACCAGTGCCTGGACTACCTCAACGCCACGCCCCCCACCACAGGTGAGCCCCTCTCCTCCCAGCATGAGCTCTGAACGAGATGCATGTAAGAGAAGGAAGTAAGCCTGACCTGTAAGTCAATAGCACAGAGTTCACAGATCACTTCTCCACTGCAGGGCTGGTGTGTAACAGGACCTTCGACCTGTACGCCTGCTGGCCTGATGGACTTCCAGGAACCACAGTCAATGTCTCTTGCCCATGGTTTCTGCCATGGTACCGAAAAGGTCTGTATGAATACTGTGGCAGTTGAATTGCAGAATTATGCAACAAATAAAAACATTTAAAGCTGCAATGATCAATAGTTTTATATTAACAATGGAGGGTGACTAATGATAAACTTACAGAGAAGAGAAGAAAAAGTATTATCACCAATTTCCTCCACCAATTGCTCTCAACTCAGTGGAGCAACTTAGCATCTTTCAGCTGATTACTGTTTTGGTTCTCACATCTCTCATCATTTCCAGCTGCAGCAGGTGGACAGGCTCCAATAAACCGACTCAAAATATGTACATCATAAAGCAGCAGGCTGACGAAGTTACCCCGAAAATGTACAGGACACGGCTTTATAACAATAACGGTTTGGCTCCTTGATCCGCGTGTCTTCAAATCCCATGAGAAGGTTTCAGAGGCAGAGCATTTTCAGAGTTGTTTACTTGTGTATTTTACCTTAAAAAGGATACAAAACAGTGTGTTTCCCCACTAAAATGTCCTCTAACATGCCTCTGACTGATTGACTTTGGCCTGCTGCCGCAATGCTGATCTAGCGTGAAATTTGATACGGAGTTTGCACGCAGTATTTTTGATTATCTTTGCCGTTTCTGTGTCTCTGACTTCCTGCCAGTGTGATGTGCTCTGTGCTGCTTGACGCAAGTGAAAAATAGAACAGCCGCATATTCTACGCAGAGCAGAGCGGAGAGGCGCTTCTGGTGGAATTCGGGGGTTAGGGACTAGCTGGTGAACAGGAGTTGGTGGAGACCAAAAACTGAGCTGGACTTACATTCGACAGTTGACCAGATAAATAAATACCAAATAAATGGTAATGTTGCTCTTTGCCTGCTGGATGTGTAAATAGGAAATAAGACATTGATAACATGTTCACAATATCAGCTTTATGAATTCAATAGCCATGTTTTCATCTAATACATTTTAACCAAATTTCAAATTATTTAATGAATGAAAGCTGAAATCCTTTCTTGGTCACTTGACAGATGAGATAACCTTTTTTGTCTTAAATGTGTTGGGAGATTCAATTCATGACGTAAAACACATAACGTGAAAAAAGAAAACTGCTGCTGGTTAAACTGGGCTTACTCATACTTACTCCTGAAGACGATTAACTGGACCAGACACTATGTAGATGGAGAATTAGAATACAAAATACACTATTTACTATAGCTATCTGGTGACACAAGAGCTGATACTCACTCCATTCACATAACCTACATTTCTGAATGAGTAAAAGTCCTTGTACACTAAATGACATTTTCAAACATAATTTTCAGAAACTTTAAAATGATGTATTGAATAAAAAAACGATTAATTCCAAGAGCTGTGTGCAGAAACGATCCCCCCTTTTTCAAACTAAAGTGTTTTCAACATGCATTAACTGCATTATAAATATAGTACTGGATGTGAGAGTTTTTCTGAAATGCTAGGTAGGCATTGTCCCACTTGTTGAATTGAAGTATTAACGTCAGTTTGTTTTGTTTGAGAGCTCTCCACAGTGCTTTAATTTAAATTCATCCTGTGTAGTGAATGGAAAATGCTTTGCAATGACAACACAGCTCATCATACGTCCTTGTCATTCAGTGTGGGATGAAAGAAACCAGCTGTCTGATGAATGCTGTACTGGATAGAGTGTACAGTGGTTTCAAAGACTGCATTAATTGTGTGTGAAGACCAAATGCTACTCAGCTACTACTCCACTCAGCAGCGTACCTGTCCTGTGGAGCCTTCTTGGGGACCTCCAGGTGGTCTAGAGGCTCTGAATAGGTGTGAAAGGGAGCTTGTCTCTGTTATCTCCTGTGGAATGGCAGCCTGGCAGGGGTCTCTCTTTGTCCACTCCAGGGGGTGTCGAGAGGCAGAGTCCTAAACCACCTCTTCCACCTCTTCCACCTCTGCTTTTTTCTATTTTGTGTTATAAAGTGAAAATCCTTGCATTGTGAATTGTTGGTCAGGCAACATTTTTTTATTGTCTGTTCGGTAAATGTGAAGATGCAGCCAGCAGCCAGTTAGCTGAGCTTAGCACAAAGACTGGAAACAGGGTGAAACTGCTAGCCTAGCTTGGACAGTGAGCTTGAATAGAGCTAGGCTAGTTGTTTCCACCGGTTCCAGTGTTTGTGCTAAGCAAAGCTTATGGCTCTTAGCGCCATACTTACCGTATAGGCAAGAGAGTAAAAAACCTTATTATTACCTTTTTATGGAGCAGTCAGCCATGCGGTTTTCTTCTGCAGGTGAAGTTTGCTCTGCTGTTTGCTGTGTGACCAAAGTGCCATAAGTCATATCTTCTTCTTTTCTTCTTTTCTTCCATACTTGGGTCACATGATGACGCTAATTATGGATAACGTGATTCTGAATCACACTGCTTTTTCTTGCCAAGACATGGCCTGCGCAGCATTCAGATGCTAGGATCGGCCACATGCTCATCAAGTGATCTACAAAAGCTTATATAAAGCTAATATAAAGTCCAGGTCTAGAGGAAGTAATGGTGGATGAGTGGATTAATCAAATAACCTATACCTGGGAGACTGGGGTATGACTCCTCTGCTTTTTAGACGTAGTTGATTTATTTTTTTATTTTTTTTTCCCAACAAAACAACTGGCAGTTTGGTTAGGTTTAGGCATCAAAACTACTTGGTTATGTTTAGGAAAATAGCCTGGTTTGGGTTAAAATAGACCCTTACACAACATTAACCACATGTTAGAAAGCCTTTCTGGCAGAAGTTAAAAATGTGCCTCTGGCCAGTCTTTGCGCTCAAATTTTACGCAGGGTCGTGTCTTGCCATGAAAAGCAGTGGCATCCATAAGAACGAACAACTGAACTATCGCCTTGACTTAGCAATAACTTGCGTACGTTAAGTAAAAGTTGTTTCCAAGTTCAAGAATGAACTAATCAGCAACTTCTGTTTGTTTCAGATAAGATAATATCCGTAAATATTTTTGCGTGGGTATTTAGTGACTTCTGAATAGTGGGAAACACATGCCATCCTCATCTAACATTTCATAATGTGTGTCTGTATGTGAACAGTTCAGCAGGGTAGGGTCCACAGAGTCTGCAAGGAAGATGGTCAATGGGCGCAAAAGAATACCAGCGAATGTGAGGACGACCCTGGTGAGGTGTGTGTATATAGCACAGTGTGTTTGTGTGTGCATGTGTGTGTATAAAACTGTGTGTGTGTGTGGTAGTGGTGGGGGTGAAATAACTGTTACCATGTTTGAAGCTGATGGCAGATGGTTAGACGATATTGTGACTGTGACTGACTCAACACTTTAACTTGATCTGAAATGACTCATCATGTGAAAATCTTCCCATCTGTTCAAATACTCTTTATGACCCTTTTTACATCCTTTGTGCCAAATTTCATCAAGTGTGTGTGTTTGTGTGTGTGGGGGGGGCGTGTGTGAAGGCAATGCATGGCGGTAACTGACTGTGTCTCTCCTGTTGGTTTTGCAGCAGCAGTATGGTCGCATCCTCAGTCAGTTACGGATCATGTATACAGTTGGCTACTCGCTCTCCCTCGGAGCTCTGCTACTGGCCCTGGGAATCCTCATCACCTTCAGGTACAACATGTACGAAGAGTAAGGAGGGGAGGAGGAGGAAGGAATAGGTGGATGAATGAAAAGGAAAAAGACAGAATAAAGGAAAGTAAAGAATTGATAAATGGTATGAAGAACAATGAGGAAGGGAAAGAGGTAACCAGGTAAAAGGAAGGTGGGAAAAAAGAAAGGAGGGATGAATGGAACAAAGGTGGAAATATAGGAGTAGTAAATTCAACATATAAAAGTCAAAAGTCATCACACACTTCCTCTGCACCAGGAAGCTCCACTGTATGAGGAACAACATCCACATGAACCTGTTCGCTTCCTTCATCCTGAGAGCTGTGTCCATCCTGGTCAAAGACGCCCTGCTGACCCTCACACTCGACCCCAAGAGCAGCAGTGACTCCCAGTCACAAGCCTGGGTCAATATACCGGTTAGAACAAACACACCACACCAACCTCATCTGCTGAGAATTGTGATCATGTGCAACTATTTAGCGTTTTAAGATTTTAAGTGTTTGTTTTTTATGTTCCAACAACAACAGTTCGGTTAAGTTATGGTTAAATTTAAACAACTACAACCATTTAATTAATAGAAGGGAGGTCAAAAAATAGAAATATCAAATTTACTTGAACATAAATAGTAAATGCAGAATAGTGTTAAGAGACTACTCCATGTTTCTTGAATATCTGTATTTTTTGGACATCCCTACAATTCAATGTGTTGTTTAAATCCCACACCTGTCAGAAATATAACTCAGTAAAGTATTGATTGGGTGTGTCTACACACATCAAATCTGTAATAAAGAGAAGGAGCTGCCAAATATTGTTTGTTGAACCAATAATTGATGTTTTTAATGTCATTCCTGGAAATAAATCTTCTGAATGAGAATATTTCTATATAAAATGACAGCCTCATATCATCATTTCATCAAGAAGACATCCAAAATTACTTTTTAGTAAAACTTGTGAACTTTTGATTTCAGGGATGGAGAGAAAATCAAGAAATACCTGCACACATACCGATTCTCACTTGCTTCTTTCCTGCTGCTTTACATTTGCATTGGAGTAATGCACAGTGTATTTCATGTAAAATGGTACAAATGGGATTGTGTCTGCACCAATCAAGGAGAAGCAATAAGCAATTAAAAATGTACCGTAAATCTGATTTGTGGCTCGTGCAGAGGTGCAAAAGACATTGGAAATGTAATGTGTAAAAATATAGCACGTGCAGGACAGCAATCCTTGACCTCTGAGCTGCTGTTGTAAGGCAAGATTTTAACACTGTATCGTGCTGAGGTCTGACTCAGAGTTTATTCAACTGAACTCAAGAGTATTTGTCTGCAGTGACTTGGAGGTCTGATTTAAAGCAACATTTCTACGAATGTGTCACCTTGGTTTATTGTTTGTATCCCCGCCACCCCCGTCCTCTGTCAGGCTGTAACGTGGTGCCGTGGTGCCATGGTGATGATGCAGTACAGCGTGATGGCTAACAACTACTGGCTGCTCGTGGAAGGAATCTACCTCCACAGCCTGCTGGTCATCACCGTGTTCAGCGAGAGGAAGTACTTCTACATTTACCTGACCATTGGCTGGGGTAAGAACCACAACTCCTACAGCGACTCACAATCTGGTCGTTACAGAAATACAAAAAGTTGTATTTCTGTTATTTTCTGACAGACTGATATTGGTCAGTTTAGTAATAAGAGTAAACAGGACCCAAAAGAAGAGCATTAGATACATCATTCAGTTAACAGGAACGCAGTCATCAGCAACAGGAAGTCAGTCAGATACAGGAATGGTTAACAAGTATGTAAACAGACTAATGAGCTAATACAGAGCAGCTATGGATAAGAGACTGTTTCCAGGATGAGTCAGGTAAATCAGCGAAGTGATAAAAATCTCCAATGGCATCTAGTGGACAGGTGTGGTATGACGGGCTCTGAACTGAACAACACAAGCTGAGTACACAAGCAAACACATATAGATGATTGTGTACAGAGGGGTGATTAGAGACAGCGAAGAGAGTATTTGTAACTTATACAATAAAATAGTTAGTAAAAGGAACCAGTGATATGATGTTTTATTACTTCACTCATTCTTCTACTCCCCCGCCGACAGTTCAGACAGAAATTCGATGTGTTAGGTTAGTAGTTGTTTTTCATTTTCAAACTTCAAGTTTTCAGACTCAAACGTGACATCACTTGAGATCATTTATCAGATTTCACACAGCTTCTCTACAGATCCTTTTTTTCACATACAGTATGTAGTAATATTTCCCAAGACCTAAACAGACTTTCATGTGTAAAACTGGTGGAGTTTAAAATTAAGACTGTGGAATATCTAGTACCTTATTATAAGATGTAAGACATATTAATCTACCTACTACTGTTTTTAATAATGTATTATTTTAAATGCATGAATCCTTAGGTCACATAATAACATTCATAAGCCAGAGCAGCTTTTGTTGATCATTCCAGACCTTTGAGAGTTTTCTTTGAGGTTACAACTTAATTATCTTTAAATAAATAATGACTTTATGATTACACTTTTAGCTTGATAGTTTGAAATAACAACTTAATTACATAGTTATCTAGTGGAGATGACAAATCATGGTCTAGCCACAATATTAACTGGATTGTTCATTAATGTCAGTGAGTCATTAAAGCCTGACAGGACAGATAATGTCCAGAGAAGAGACCAGGTTTATGAACCAATTCGATTTTACTTTAATTAAGCTCAGACACATGCAGACATTTTCATTTTTCGACCTTTCAAGTCTTCATCGGGTTAGAGGAGAATAAAAGTATTTGTCTTGTAATGAGATTTTAAACTCATGATCATAACAAAAGAATGCTTGATGTTGTGTCATGGGTAATAAGATCATTGTGATAACTGGGTTAGAGAATAAATAGAATATAGTGAGAACTGTAATGTCATACACATTAGTAGTGTGTACTAAAAATTAACCTTTGGAGTGAATTATCTACCAGAAGCACATTGATGACTGCTATGATGTTTCAACTAATCTGGTAAAAAGCAGCAACTCTATGTTACAAAGTTTTATACGGTTTGTTAACTCATTTAAGGTCAGTTCACTCTCACGTTTTACCTCTGCCATTCTCAGGTGCACCGCTCATATTCGTGCTGCCATGGATCACAGTGAAATATCTGTATGAGAACGAAGAGTGAGTCTCTTTTCATAATATTGCCACATCAAATAAACGGCAGTTTAGATGCAGCTTTTATCTGTGACCAGTGAGAATTCATATTATAATGTATGAATATTAGGATACAGTAAAAAAAAAGATCAGAATCACAATGATAACGGCAATATGTTACAATATAAATTGTGTGTTTGTGTGTGTGTATGTAGGTGCTGGGAGAGGAATATTAACATGGGATATTGGTGGATTATCCGGTCTCCTATACTGTTTGCTTATCTGGTAAGACTCTCTCTATATGTATGTCTCTTACCCTCATATATTCTCTGTTGTGCAGTTTACAATTGATAAAGGAAATTCAGGTTCAGGGTGTGCAGGCATGTGATCGAGCTACAGATGCAGACAAATGCACGCACACATACAGCAACAGGCATTCACCAACCTTATCTGCGCAGGTGTTTCTGTGAATAGAGATATGCTCGTGTTTGGGGACAGGTGTGCTTTTTTGAAAATATGTAAATCACGCAGTTGTTGGAAGTAGGGTTAGTAAAAAACAGTTTGACCTAATTAAATTCTTGTCTTTTGCTTTTATAAAGAATTCTAGTTTCCCACTATCCATTGTCTTACATCAATAGCATTATTATCTCTCCTCTCCTATAGCTTCTAAACTGATTTTATAGCGAAAAAAGAAATAAAATCAATCAAAACTAACTGCACCAATTTAACCTATTAACCCATAAAATACAGAGAGTAATGTGCGTATTGGATGTGATACCACTAAATGCACAAATAAAGTTTTGTTTGGTATAGCTCTACACGTGGTGACAAGTGCAAATACAAACCTACTAATGTTATTAATATTAAATGCTGTTCAGTTACCTCACAATTCTGATAAGTCAGTCAAAAAGTACCTCCTACCACCTTTCTTAATTACTGAGCAAGAAATCAGATGTGTGTGTGTGTGTTAGAGAGGGAGAGAGAGTTGTCTGTTCTCCTATTTTGTGAAACATTTATTGAATTGAGTTGTTTTTTTATTTGAGTCAATAATTTAAAAGTATTTTTATGAATAAAGACTAAGAATAATAGGTAATTGATATCAAATTAATTAATACAATTCCCAGAGATTCTCACCCTAAATTGGAAGATTAACTAATTTATACAGTCTCTTTGGTGTTCTTGCACATGGATGTACACACACACACACAGTTGTGGAATTCCTCTTGTGTGTTTCCTGCCTCTTGTTCCCATAGAGACAAACAACATTATGGATGGACACACTTATGAGCACAAGTGCACATTAACAGTAACAGTAGCAACCCTTGTGACCCCATGCAAAAGCGTACGTGTGCACAAGCACATGCTAAATTATTCATAAACCCGTACATTTCCAGGGCGGTTTAAGTCCTATAGTATGTGCGCTTGTGGAAAAATTCTCTTTATTGTTATCGCTGAAATAGTTGCCGTACGGCTGTGTAACAGACGTAACGTCATATGTCATCCTCCAACAATCCCAAACACAACCCTGCAGTTGAACTATTGTTCACACACACACACACTCACACCTAAATAAACTGTGTTTGCGTGCACTCAAAGACACTCACACACCCACGTTCACACAAGCACATCTGTCAAGACAACATACACATGTTACCAAACTTGGAGCGCTAATAACTTGAGTGCTGTAATAATTAATGTTCTCTGTCATCAGAGAGGGTTCTGCACTAGATCACAATGTGTGTGTGTGTGTGTGTTTGTGTGTCCTGTTCAAAACCCACAGAGCACAGCAAGACTCAAGACATTTTTGGGAGTCTTTCTGTCTCTCTTACGCATGATGTCATCTAACAATCTACAGAACGCATTTTGCTCATTTGTTTGCATCCACTTAACGTCTCTTCTCATTCCAGATTAACTTCTTCATATTCATCCGAATTATCAAAATCCTGATGTCTAAACTCAGAGCTCATCAGATGAGATACACAGACTACAAGTTCAGGTGAGATAACAATTTCTTGTTCTGAAAGATAAAAACATATACATAAGATTTGCTGTGCTGGTGGCGTACGGTGTTGAGATGTTTCTTAGGTTTTTCCGCTGAAACTGGCACCATGTGGTCTGTAAGACGCTGTAAGTTTCACAGAGCTGAGAGGAGCTTTAGAGTTGGGTGATAATTGCCTGTAGGTTTATCACTATGGTCGGCGACCCCTTTTCTCATACGAGTAGTGATGTGATCCATTGTTAATATGGAAACACTGATTTTATTGTGCTGCAGCTTAATGTTCTGTAATTATAATATTATGTAAATTCACTCAAAAATGTGTAATGACAAGTGTTTTGGACCAAAAACTCTGCGGACGGCTGAATCTTACCTGATGAGGGTCAATAAAGGTCATAATTACACTAATTGAAATGAGAAGTGGCTGACCTTTCTAGGTTCTTGTAATATATAATCTTCTATTCCTCCTCTGTTTCAGATTAGCAAAGTCCACTCTCACCCTCATCCCTCTGCTTGGGATTCACGCCATCCTCTTCACCTTCGTCATCGACGAGTCTGTACCTAAAGGCTCCATGCTGCGCCTTATCCGCCTCTTCTGTGACCTGCTGTTCAACTCTTTCCAGGTCAGAGCTCAACTTAACATGAAATGCCTTTTTGCTCACAGAAACCACTGATGATAATATAACTACACGAGGCCACATGATCTCACACGTTCAACCTTTCATTTGTGGCCTTTTTAGAGCAATCAGTTTTTTAATAAATCTACAATAAATATTCTACATTAAAGGAAACAGTTTACAGTGGTAACTTTAAAAAATAAATTTAATTTTCTTCTTGTGTAAAATGGAGTGAACCACAAATGGATGGGAAATGAATGAATAGTATTTAAATGTGTATTGTGGAGTTTTTCTTGTAAACAAAGATTGTGTTTACATTCAGTGTTTCTCACCGAAATGCATTATGTGTATGCTGGAGATCTTTCTAACACATTGAGTGTATTTCCTTCCTTACAACACATTTGCAAAGCTGATTTCCTAAACATACAAAACAGCCCTTCCACAGGTCAAAAACTCTTTAAACTAGGTTTGAAAAGACCAATAAATGTATCCTGCAAAGTACTACTAAAGATTGCCTGTGTTGGCTGATATTTCTTATGCGTCTGTGCCATAGAACTTCATTATAAACATACAGGTATATAAAGTAACCATAGTGATGCATTAAGACATATTATTTAATTATATATATTATTATATATCTTATTATTATTATTATTATTTAACTGTAATTAACATGTTCAGACTTCACAGTTGAGTCATCCATTGCATTGAGGATATATGATCTCCAGTGCAGCGGTTTGGCTCTTTCATGTTTGTTTGTTTAATTTGCATTTTGGACAACAATGGTGTTCTATGGAAAAAGGTCATAAATTATATTAGTTGATAGATATTCAAATATTAAATATTTAGACCTAACATTCTTTTCCACTATCTGACGTGACTGAACTGTTAAAACTCCGCCTTCTGTTTCAGGGCCTGCTGGTTGCCATCCTGTACTGCTTTGTTAACAAAGAGGTGAGACAGATGTGCTTTCATGTCAAGCACCACCTTAATTTAATCTCTGTCATTGCTGCATTTCCTTCCTTTCTCTTTGTAGAGAAGATCAATTAGGCATTTCTCATCCTCAGTGTTCCTATCGCCAGCCTTCATCTGCCCTTTTATATCTCTAAAAGGTCCATCTTGTTCTTTGTCTAAAAAGTCAGATGGACACAACATCATCATCCATCTGCTAATCTCTGAACTTTTAAATGTAGTCTTTGGCAAGAGACATCCATCCGATGAAGTGCTGGGTGTCTTATTTAATCTTCATCATAAATCTTCACGTGTCTCCTCTCTCTGCTCTCTCTCGCTGTTATCCCATCATCCCTCAGGTGCAGTCGGAGATGTTGAAGAAGTGGAAGAGGTGGAAACTGGGTAAGGACATTGATGAGGAGTACCGCCACACCCACAGCCAGACGCCGCACATCAAGAGCGGCAGCATCGCCACGGGCAATCTGCCCTATCTTCATGACAACAACGCCAGCGACCCCAGCGGCGACTCGCCTCGCCTCAACAAAGCTGGCAGGGCGCCCTCCTGCTCCGCCGCACCCGAAGAGAACCGCCGACTGGTCGTCTCCTACAGCAACGGGACGAGCAAAGACAGGCCCGCCAAGAGCAGACACACCCTGCAGTTCTCTTTCCTGCCACACAGAGGCGTCGCCAGTCATGTCAGTACTGCCACAGAGGATGTGTGTCTGGAGGAGAAGGCGCAGTGTCGCACATACCCGCTGGAAGGACAAGAGACTAATGTGTGAGGGCAACCTGCTCTGAGCCCTCGTCACGAAAACTCTCACTGATTGTGCTTATCGTTGTTTCAAATCAGTGTTTATCATGCGCCAACAAGACAGCCTGAGTGGGAAGAGAATGAGGAAGTGACCCAAACAGATCAGGATGTTCCACGCTGCGTTAGGTTGCAGGAAATACAGTTTCAACCTGCCCAGCTGGAAATGAATATTTATTAGTTTTTTTGGACCTTGAGCAAAAAGCACTGATTGACTTTAGACATCAGGAATGATTAAATAAATTAAAATAAAATTCTAGTGGTGTTCAGTGTGAGTGTGTGTATATATGTGTATGTGCGTGTTGTGTGTGCATATGGAGGACTGCCATTTCAACAGTGCTCACATCTTTCTATCTGTACTTGTTGCCACTGTGAGTCATGCTTGTGTTGTCTGCTTGCAACAATAGATGCTTGTTTGTGGTACTCTCCTACAAAAGCCTCTCAGTGTCAAATTTTGTTTGTTTTTTCTCTTTTTTGGTTTTATGGAACTGAATGTGAACTTCAGCATGTATGACTCTTGTTCATGGGGATCAGGAAAAAGGCAGAACTGGGCGATTCACTGGAGACCACTGACTCTTATCAGACAGTGTTTGCCCTGCTGAGGCAGCCTCACAGAGGATGGACACTTTGATCTTAAGAAAGACTATAATGTTTAAGTTATTCTGGTTTTAGATGACCTAAGCCAAAAAATAAAATAATAATATGTGATGGATTTTACATCATCAGGCATCAAATCTATTCTTTTATGCACATTCCTGTCCTCCCTTTTTGTCTATTCTATACTCAATCCTTCGCCTTTTTTAAACAGATTTTCCTGACTGAATGTATATGAATAATGGAGAAATATGGGTGAAACAATATGAAGTGTATATGTGTGATTAGAAATGCACACCATGTCCACAGCACCTGCATTTATGCAGCAAGGATTCTTGGATTTGTCTTCATGCAGACTAAAATTGTATATATGACACACTGGTAGTTAATTGGATGAAAAGCCATTTCACAAATGTGATTTTTTTCTGGTGTTTTACATAAACTGAAGTACCTACAGATCACAATGACCATACTGCTCCAGTCTGCTGCAATCACTGTCCATATCCAACATTCTTTCCAGTCATACAGTATTCTTTAGAATGAAGGCAAACGCAGAACATATTGTCATTTTGTTAACAATATATGTGCAGAATTTAAAAGTCTCTTTGTATGCCAGAAAGGTTTTTCCGTTCATTATTGAAAAGAGTACCGCACTTTTTATTGTGTTGTTGTGCAGTTCGGATTATGACTCATATTTCCTGATGCAGAAAACAAAATGTGCCACACAGAACCACTTTTATTATTTTAGATGAATAAAATTTGCAAATTAAAACAAGGATTGGTGTTTTAAAATATTTAGATTCACTTCAGAAATGGACTGGATTTAATTGTTGGAATTTTCCAAATGTGATCAATTGCAGTCACACTGGAGCCAACAAGTGTTTTCACAAAGGGATTCCTAGTGAACCCTTTGGACGAGGATTGGTAAGCAAATATTCTGTTTCAAATGTATGAGTGAGCACCACACTGTAAATATTGATAAAAAGTGATTATTATAAAGATAAAGATGGGTGGTTAGAGGGATGTGTTGCTGTTCGTGTTTTTGCTTGCAGTCCAGGTGACTCAAAAATAAAAAGATACATGACTAATTATCTTGAGAAAAGCCTTGTTTCACTAAACATGATTGTACCTGTCCTTTTAATTAAAATGTTGCAATTGTCAGGAAGGGCATAAAGCAAACAATATCATGAGAGAAAGCAAAAAGTTTTATATAAAAGCCAAATTGTTGTGTCTCATATGTCTTTGTGGATCCAATTAAAATGAATTCTGTCTGCAAAAAAGTCTCTAGTACATATTGTGTCAATTCAACATATGAGAAAGAAACCCTATTCCTCCGCATTTGCTACATGCACTTTTGACACATTTGTGACATTAAAGTAAAAATATTTGTTCTTAACTGACATTTTGTGGTGGTGTTCATTAAAAACTTGGGCCTGACTAAAAGAACATGTTTCAACACTGGCTGAAAACATTTGACAGATAAATTCCTCTGTGTGTTCGTTGTGCAGCTTTTACACATCATGTTTGACTGCAGAGCCAATCGGAGGACTATCAATCAACACGCATGTTTCCATTGGAGATTACTGCAACATGAAATTATAGTGACTCGTCTGTGCGTTGTTGCACTGAAGGTAATAAGCTGTCAGAGTATGAATTATGTATAGGTCATGCACACATGTCTAATAATGTGTGTATGTGTATTGTTGCGTGTGATTGATTTAGAAATCTTTCTGAAAACACCTCCCTCCACAAGCTTGTATGTATGTAAAGAACATAAAAATAAACCCCTGGAGGCAGCTCTTTGCATGGCAGGATAAAGCCAGCCGAGATTATTATGTAAAGGGTGGCTCACAATGGCTCTCCGGGGAATCGCCCGACTCTTGCACTAAATGTAAAAACAGATGTGAGGGTTTGGACTGGTCTTTGTCTCTTGTTAGTTTGAAATGTGGGTATATAATAATAAATCTATCTCTAAATGCATCCAAGTGTTATTATAGATTACATTCATTTCTGATAAAAAATGCATTTTATTTTAATTTTGAAGATGGTAAAATATAACAAATCAGTACAGGACGGTAATCCAATTACTCACTGTAATCTGTGCAGATTTGGTTACATTGTCTTGTAAAGATCTAAGGTGGCATATGAGGTAATATATTCATATATCATACTACATCTTATTTACGATGTAATGCAATATTGTTATATAATATAGGGGGAGGGCAGTCCAGGCTTACAGTATAATCAGTCTGAACAGCAAAAATATTTTATTTTCAATTACAGCAATGTATTTTTTTCTGTATAAATATGTAGGTTGAACTGCCTGTGTTTCATCTCTTTTGGAGCACATGCACAGGTGGACACTGAAAGGTCTCAGTAATTGTATTCACTGTATCCATAAAAATACAAGATTTTTTAATTTTGTGCTTGCAGCAAGGTGTTCAGCTCCTCTGACATCAGCACTGTGAGAGACACCAGGCTGCATTGAGAAGCAACTATTAGGGCTGACTTTTAAATTTTAGACCTTGGCCATCTAATTTATTGAATGTAGATTTTCATGCACACTGTTTGGCAAATGAAACTCAAATTCCACTTTGCTTGCAGCAGTCCTGTGAATTCTTAAGGGCAGATATGTTGCGTAATGATTCTTAACGAAGCAATAGTGAACAAGAAGCTTAAATGAATGAATACTGTACCAGCTTGCACAGAATATAAGTTTAGTGGAAGAAACAAATTAATAAATCATAAGTTATCTACAAACACAGTCTCTCATATTCTTATGCGTGCATTAGCAACCTTCTGTATAAGCAGACTCGGAACACAATCAATTCTGCTTTTGCCAAAACATTGCTTTCATTTGCACAACCTTACTGAGGCTTTTATCACCAAAACAGCAAACATTTGTTCCTTTAATGAGCAGCCAGAAGCTAGTTTCCTAACACTGAGCCAAATAAAGACTCAAAATTACAAAGATATTACAAAAACTGATCAAATTGTCAAATTGTCGATTCCGTGCTGACTCTGCCCATGCAGAAAACATCTATTTTAAGGTCTGTCATATTATTCTAACTACTGGGACCAGCTAATGCTCCGGATGGACATTTGTGATGCAAGTCTACAGGGAGGATTGTGGAAAATACATTATGTAAACAGGAGGTTACTGAAAACATATTACAGTGGTCAAAAATCTTACATACATCATCTGTAAAACTCCCCCTCAGGATCACTCTGCTAAAGCCATCTGTGAGAAGTTGAGTCAGCTAATTGGGGAAACAATAATAATAATTAAAAAAAGCAGTAATGTGAAGTTTAGCCCAGACTCACAGCCAAAGGGATTGTATATGTCTATAGATAAAACCATCTAATTTTAAGGTCATAAAAACGTAACAATTCTTATTTTCAGGTTTTGTTTCTTTAATTAAATCATTACCACATGTGATAAGATACAGAAAAACAAAACAAAGTCAGAGAATGATGTATGTCACAGTCACTTTTTCTGAATTCTGGTCTATTTGGGTCCCTTGAAGTCATCCTAGGCTCAGGTCCTGTGTCTCTTTGGTCTCTCAGTTTCAGTTCTGAGCAGAGTTATAGTTTTGTATTTTTAATTTGTTGTCATTTGTTTCATTTCAGTTTAATTTTTATTGTTTAAAAATGTTTGGTTTCATTTTTATTATAATATGGGGAACATTTGTCAGGGGTAAGATCTAAGAAATTCAGAATAGTTATTACAATACAAACACACTGACTCTGTCATTGAGACGTCGCATTCTCAATAAACATGCACCAATACCTCTTCATGCTTGTTGTGTTGACAAATTTGACAAAGACTAAAAAATATAGACATTTCCTGCAAAATTTTATTTTATTATCCCTGTTTTTACCTCTTTCTGTCGCTGTAGATCCTGACTTCCTGTGAGTTAAAACTGGATAGGAAGTTGTATACACGCGCCACACGAAGTCAGGGGAAGTTATTTTGGGATTAGGACAAAAACACCTCAGAACAATGACACAGAAATGACAAAGGAGCTGCAGGGTGTAGAAATCAATCAGTTGTGACAGGTCTATTGTGGAAAGTACTTGAGTACCAGAACAGGCAAAGACTGGGTGAGGCTTAACAATCCAACAAAAGTAAAGGAAGAGGAAAAACACTGTT